CATAATAAATTTTTATTGTTGTATTTAATATTTCAAAAGCTTGATCACCTTTTGACTGATTATATGATTTACACATAAATTTGAAAAAGAATTGCATAAATTAAATTAATAATAATATCACTTGCCGTGTATTAGATTACAACAATAAGAGGTAATTAACAAAGAGAAGAAAGTTAGGAGCTCCCCTTTCTTAAATTAGAGGTTTCCACATTACTTAATACTTGCTAGTTTGTTTTAAATTATATAGAAATATAATTAATTTAACAAATAAGTGAATAATTAACTTGATTTGAGAAAATTAGTTAATTAATTTAGAGAATATATCATCACATACAATAAAACTTAACAAATTAGTTTTAGAAGCATATTAATCCAGAATTTATATTAATTGGTTAGAAGCATATTAATCTAGAATTTATATTAATTGGTTATGGTGAAATTGATAATTTAGTACTTTATATCTTGATTAATTTTATTTTAATTGTTATTTCTTCTTATTTTTTAGTTAAAGTTTCTCCTTTTTTTATTATTTAAATAAATTTAAATTAATTATTTTTTTTTGTACTTAGTTAATCATAATTCTCGTAGGTTCGATACTCTCTTATTATTATATTACTTGGAGTGACTAATATAGTTATTAGAGTAATTTTAACATATAATATTTTTGGTGCCGTTGTTGGGCATTGTGGAATTTAATTAATATTAAAATTGATTAATTCTAAATTTAATTTGAATGTTTTCTTTTCTTTTCTTTTATTTCTTTACTTTGATATTTTTGCTTTTTTCTTGTTTCCTTTGTTTTTATTTTTACATGTCTAATTATGGATTAAGTTGTTATAGACACTAATATGAATTATTAATGTCTTACTCCAAAGTTAAGAGCACATGATGAAGCAATAACCCATCAATTGGGAAGTAGAACTTGACAATGATAAACTTGAATAATTTTGAGCAATCATTGAAAAGTTCAAATGAAAGAAAGTTATAACAAAACAATTTAAAATCACTTGTCGATGGTGTGAATTAGAACATTTTAGCTTTGATTGTTATTTTAAACCATCTAATAAATATACTGATTTTTTTTTTTTTTGTAATTTTTATAACCAATAGTGTAATTCTTATCCTAGCACATACAACTTTGATTGGATAAATTATCGAAATTCCTCATGAAATAATGAAGATATATTAGCGTCACAATTAAAGTTTCAAGCTCAAGAAGAGGAGAGATGTTTGGACAAAAATTTAGAAGTTCAATCAAGTTATTTACTCAACTTAGTTGTTGAAAATATAAGATGAGTTACCTCGTTCAACAATGAAAAATAAAGAAAAAGAGGTAAATACTTGACCCTAGGAGATTAAAGGACAACTTGAAGAAGTAGAAAGTACACTTGCAAAAACTAAACAAGAGGATGTCTATAAGGAAGAAGACAAAAAAGCTCAAGTGTCATCAAAAGTGTTCAATGAAGAGTCTCTATTAACTAAATTTGACTTAAATAATTATTTTGTTATTGATATGATTAATGATATTTTGTAAGAAAACACTTATGAGGATCCATTTAAGATTTATCTTATTCAACCAAAGGATCTAATTAAAGAATACATAAATTGTTTGAACACATCCTCATCTTAGTTGGAATCAAAGGTAGCAATCCTAGAAGAATTGGGAAAACACATCTCTTGCCCTAAACCAAAACCACCTCAGAATAATTAATGGAGAAAATTTTATGGTGGATTCAACTAAAGGGCAAAAAAGTCAAGATTCACGAAAATAATAAGACATGCCTTATGACTTGATTTAAAATCACTTTGGAGTAGTAGAAAGTTTAAGTAATGACTATAAATTAAGTGCTTCCTAAGAGGCAACTCAAACATAACTTTTTCTTTTCTTTGATTTTAATAGTTCACATTTTTATGGCTCAAGTTAATGCATAAATGTGGAGAAATTCACATCTCACTAAGATCAAAAACTCTTTAAATCTTCATTTGCCGAATCCAATCATTGAACAAGTTTTGGGGACAAGATTTGAAGTCTCCTCTAATTGCAAAGAACTCAAGTTCAAAACTTAAATTTTAATCTTTAAGTGCAAAACCTGAGAAGTTTCTTTCATCTTTTACTTTTATTTTACATTGAAGACAATCTTTGATTTAAGTTTGGGGGAGAAAATAACTTTTAGGTGTTTATTTTTACATTAGTTTGCATTCAAATTTGCATGATATATATATATATATATTTAGAAATTAGCATAATTTTTTTTAAAAGTTGATCCAATTAGTGTCAAAGAATTGAATATTTTTGAGTTGGAAATTCAAAAACTTTTTAAATCTTTAAATCTTAAAGGAAATACAAAATTTGAAAACTAAATTATTTTGATTAAGTTGAAGTTCATGAATATTCTCTTCTACTTAAGTACAAGTTTTTGATGAGAAGTTTAGAGAGAAGACTTAGTAGTACCTAAAAAGTACAACAAAAATGAAAACAAATAAAAAAACAAATAGAAGAATGTTCAATAAATTATGAAGTAATTGGGCAGTGGTGCTTAGTTCAAGCATCATCATTCATATGAAAAGTGATGGGTTGAGCATCTCTTAAAAAAAAAAAAGGCCGAATGTTTATGGCCTTTGTTATTTGACTAAATATGCTCTTAGGGGTGTCACTTCACCTAATGCCCAAAGCTGATTGGTTTGGGAGCCATTGGTGGAAAACTCATTAATCATATGGGTAACATAGAAAGTCTAAGGGAATTCGACCAAAAAAAAAAAAAGGTAATGATAATAAGTGCTAAAGTGTGAAGGCTTACACTCAAAACTTTTTGCTATGACTTTTCACACACACATAAAGTACGCATGAGCTAAACCTTTTGAGAAGTGGTGTGAAGAATGGGATGGAGTATTTGACTTTAAATGAGTGTATGAGAACTTTTAAATGTTTGAGATTTTGTATCTAATTGAATTTTAATTCTTAAATTTTCTTTGCATGCATATCATGTAGTTGCATTCTTGCATCAGGATTTTGTGGGTAGATATGTTAAAAACCCTCACAAGACAGAACTCATCCACTAAGGTGACCTAGTTTAAAGGCTTGTTATATATGGTAAGTGCAATCGTAATTCTTATGAAAATAAATTAGGTTTTATTTTGTTTTTGTTTTTTTTATTTGTGAACAAGTAAAACTTAAGTTTAGGAGAGTTTGATGAGCTGAATTTATATACATACTAATATGAAATTTAGCTGAATTTATATACATACTAATATGAAATTTTGCTTCTTGATATTATTGTTATTTGGATGAGTTTCATAAAATCTTACTTAATTTTATATAATTTTCATTTTTTGTACATAAAAGGACTTAATTAGAAAAAAAAACATAATTTTAGGAGGAAAATGTAGAGATCAGAGACATGAGAATTAACTTGCGTGGCAAGTAGAAGTTAAGGATAAGGACTGCTATTTTGCCATTAATTAAAATTGCTTTAGCAAGCAAAATCCCGACACAGACTGTTTAGCACTGATATGGTGAATGTGTCAGCCCCTTCGTTAGGGTGT